TATAGATATAGATATAGATATAGATATAGATATAGATATAGATACAGATACAGAGCCAATTAAAATCACACTTACAGATGCTTCCAGTTGTCCTGATAGACTCCGTTGGGCGCCAATGCTGCAGCCGTGGCCAGGGGCTGCAGCTTGGCCATCTTGACAGCTGGCGGCTTCTCGCTGGAGTTGAGATTAACATTGAAGTGGGATGGCATTCGCCGTTTGTATTGTGAGCGCCACAAACGTGGCGGCTCCTGTGAGTACACCATCTGGTTGTTGTTGTTGTTGTTGTTGTAGTGTGTGTTGTTGTAATTGTTTCGACTCTCACGTTGGCGCTGCTGCAATATCATCTCGTGAAGATGGCGGGTCTCCTCAGTGGGCTTGATGTTAAAGATGCGCGTGCCGGATTCACAGCACTCCGCCGTGACGTGCGGAATGGTTAGCAGAAAGTCTGTGATGTTGTCGTGCACCGGAAATGCAGTGCCCGTCAATTCTCGATACTCATCTGTATATAGGGTGCAAATGTTAAAAATATATCAAAAAGATCTGATGAATATGGAAATGAATTGGTCTTGAAAAGCCATGAAAAAAAGAAATGTAGAAGCGTTTTAATAATTTTACTATACGTGTAACTGAAGTTTTGAAATATTTACTATAAATTGTGGAAAATGGGTAGAACAGATGGTACTGCTTTGATTACTGCAAAGATTAAAAACCTAGAATTCTTAAATATATTTTTGGCTTATAGTTCTAAGAGGTTATTATTCTGATTTAGTTAGATTCGAAAATTAATCAGCAATAATCAACAAAAACTTGATCAACTTTCTCAATTGCAAATACTTAGAATAGTCGATAATAACCGGCTGCCTCTTTGATCACGTGACTTATAAAATATGTTATTCACTTTCTTTGCACACTTTATCTTTATCACTGTCCCGAAATCCAAAGCTTCCCCGGCTCAAACTTACTTTTGATGCTTGATATCGTGATACCATTCTGGGCATTAGCCAGCAGTATGGCGCGTATTTCAGCATCAATGTCGGGGTACTCGTCACGCACCCCTATATAGGTGTTATCCATGATGGTCATGTCGGAGCTGATGGTGCTCGATATGAGGGTCGATGAGAAGAGTCGCGCTACAATTTGCAGCTCCTCCCCTGCCACCTGCGTCTGCTTCTCTTTCTGGCTGATGCCGCTGCCAAGTGCTGGCTGTAGCTGAGCTGCTGCTGTCCGGGCACTTGCCAAAGTCTGGCGTGCTGTGAAGATCCTTTTGAATTTGCGCAAATAGGTAACTTTCTCGTCCAAAATGGAGCAGTCCGTGCGGACAAATATTTTATAGAACTGCCCAGTGCCGCGTTGGTGTTTGTGCTGCTGCTGGGCTTGGCTCTGGTGTTGGCGTTGGTGTTGTTGCAGCTTGAGCAGCCAGTGCTGAAAACACGTGGTCAGCTTTTTCTTCAATGCCGTCAGGCGCCGGTTGTAAGTGTTCGGCACGCTGTGAAATTCACTTCTGAATGTCGCCATCGCTGAGGCGAAAATGAGTTTCTCCATTCTCCGCTGCGGCTGCCATGTGCTGCGCTCTATTGCTCTCGCGCTCACCCTCTCCATACATCATTTCTTTTGTGGAGAGTTTCACGGTGTGCGTGTATTTGGTAGCGATCAATGCAATTTGGCAAGTGTGAGATTAGAATAACAGTAGCTGGTGAGCTTTTTTGCTTTGGCAGATTTGTCTGTGCAGTAGGGTGGCTCACTATTTGAATGCATTAAATAACATAAGTGCATATGTATATAGGAATGTTTGTATGTATGTATGTTCATTTGAATGAAGAGTTACTGTAGTTGAAGAGCTTTTTTGCTTTTGACTGCTCTGCCCAGCGAGTAGGGTGCTTCACTACCAATAAATAAAATACATATGTGTTCACATTTAGATTGTATATATATACATATACATATATATATATATATATATATATATA